ATAGCTCCTTGTCCAAACTCTTATCATCTCTAGATTTCTCATGTACGTACTATTGAAGTTCTGCAAATAATCCAGAATACGGCAAAGTATTTGGTCCTGAATCAGGCCCAAAGAGCAATTTGATATCTAATGCAATGACAACCTCATTTTCAAGTGTCATAAGTCTGAATATTTTTGGGGCTACTGTTCACCATAATATTTAGTTACGCTGTGGCTTGTCAGATTTGTCTTTAATGCTGTCTTAAATCAGTTTTATTGCATGGCTAAATTTAATAAATGTGATGTCTTTGCCTGAGGCATGCAACAGCTTATTAATGTAAAGTGATTTTGATTGTTTTGTTGATCAGATCTGCCCATTTCAACAGCTTTTCATCTAACATGAAAATATAATGTGTCTTGTACTTGTTTGTGCATGTGTTGTGTGTGTACTTGTTTGTGTGTTTTTGTGGCGTGGCTGTTGTGTGCCTATGTGTTTTTGTTTGAATATGTGACTTAGGCCCCAGCCATACAGGTCTCTGAAAGAGGCAGAGCTTGTGGAAGAAGGTGAGGAGGTTGGGGAGTGCTTCCAAGGTAACACTGCTCCGTCCAGCCCTGTCCTAGACAAGTTCTCTGACCTGAGCCTGTTGCAGGATGCTTTCCATAGTCAGCAGGGGGAGCCAGAATGTACCGAAACCACAAATACCACAAAATCCTCTCACAGCACACACTCTACACTCAGTTCCGCCAGAAGTTTGGAGGATCTTCGAGCAGACCCACAACATGCCAACTTCAACTACCAGGTTAGATTGTGCTGCAAAGTTTTGGGAGTGACAGCCACAATTTAATGCACAAGAGAATCCTGTAAATCAGTGTTTCCCAACTTTGTTCCTGGGGTACACCAGAAGTACACATTTTTTAACTCTTTGTTTTCAAACACCTGGTTTAACTCATCTGCTCCTTAGCAGACTTCATGACCTGGAATGAATGGGTCAGATAAGGGAGACATCCCAAATCGGTACTGTTGGTGTGTCTCCAGGATCAAGTTTGAGAAACTCTGCCCTAAATTATTGTTCCACTTGTAGGAAATACAGGAGACACTGCCAAACTCACAATGGTCTATGATGAGATCCATAGTAATGTTTTGTTATCTCACTTTTAGGAATTGGTTGCGGTTGTCACTCCCGCAATCACCCAAACTCTAGGTGAACAGAATGGGTTTAAGCACTCCAAAGCAATCGGATTTATTGCTGTACATGGCCTCTATCTATCTAAAACTTGTTTTAATTGTTTGTTCTCCAGCGGATAGATCTTACTTCTGGTGAGCGCACACGCACACTCCCTGGTCTTAAAACCACCAATCCGTACAACAAGCTCTGGAGCCAAAGAGATGTCCCATCCACGTTGCTTGGCCAAGAGTCGCCTTCCTGGGAGAGACCTCTCTCCGTGCCACCCTTGGAACCCCCTGAGGCACGGCCAGACAATAGAGAGAGTTCAAATCCCAGTGCAGAGAAGACCGAAGGGGCTTGTATCACAATCCCTCGTCCCCAAGGTCGAAAAACACCCGAACCGGGTGCCGTTCTAGCACCGGCTGTGACCCTGCTGCGTGGGGTTAAGCAGGCCAGCGAAAAGGAGGGAGGAGTGTCTACTGGAGGGCAGGAGTTTAGGCAAGCACTGAACATGTCTCCTCACTCCCAATCACAAACTCAGGCGGACTTGTTGAAGCCCAGTGAGCCAAACGAGGGACAGGACTTGCTCAGCTTGTTGGACCCTCTGTGCGGAGCAACGAAGAATGAGGCCACCCCATCCCTCTCTAAACCCCCTATACCTCCTCGACCCAACCCCCCAAACTTGCCTGCCTTCCCCCCTCCAGTATCACTGAACCCCTTTACCCAACCACCCCAGTACCAGCCACAAAGGCATTATAGTCCTGTTATCCCAGGTAACCCTTTTGCCCCAGCATACATGCCTCCCCCAGGTGCCAACTACTTCTCCACCTCTGCCCACCCATTCTCAGTATTCAGTCAGACATCTGCTGTGGGTGTGATCCCAACCGGAGGGGCGTGGCCAATTGGACGTGTTCCACCATCCTCCAGCAGTAGCGGCTCTCTTTCAACCCTCTTAGACTCACCTGCTCCGGCTACTCTGGCCCAGCCTGCGCAAGTTTCTACAGACGAACCCCTTGACCCATTCAGTGACCTTCTTTCTATGGCAACCACACCAACAGTAATGGCCACGCCCCCCAAAAAGAAGGTAGAGGATTTGCGAAGAAGGTGGGAAACTTTTGACTAGCTCTGCCCACATCTTTCACATTTTTTTTTACTGCTGCTACCAACCAGTGAGGGACCGAAAATTTAGAGCCAGTGGGTATTTAAGACTGCGCCCCCTAGTGGCCTGAAAGCACTGTTGGACATTTTCCCCCCCAGAGTGTCGTGCTTTTTTTCGCGCCTAGCTCACACACACAGCCTTATGCACACAGATGCTAATGATGTGTTTCCCATAGCATCCGGATGAACAGTGTTGTTCCAATAGCAGCAAGTTTAACACTGAAAAACCATATTAGCAGGATAACACTGTATTTTCTGTAGCTAGTAGTCTAGTTTCCATATGGATCAGACTACAGTACTAAAGATACCACACAATAAGTGACCCAAGTCCTACATTAGCAATTAGACTGGCATTGTTGCTTTTATGGTAGTAACTGCATAAACAGTCAGTGCCGTTTTAATAAGAATCTTGTGTTTTTATTCCTACACGTTAATTCAAACCGACATACCCTAGTGTCCACTTCTTGAAAAAAGATTGTTAAATTGCCATTTATAATGCACTTGAATACAAATATTGCGTATCTCTAGTAGATGGCATACTACACATCCCACACTTCTTGCTACATGACACAAGGGCATACTACATTCTGGACGTTAAAATGCACATTGCATATAACGTTGTGACTGCTGTACCTGCCGTGTACTTCAAATTTGCACTACATTACATATGGCATACTATAATGCATACTGCACTACATATCGTGTCCTAGTTGAAGCTATATACTACTCGCTGCATAGAGCATAGTGTGTGATAAAGTGCGTCAGTATGTTAGCACTCAGAATGGGTCAGCGTAAACAGCCCTGTAAAACACAACACTGCCCCCTAGAGCTCTGAAATCAGATATTTTAAAGTACAAAAATGCAGTATGCATTTGATGCATTATCTCTTGACCAAAAAAAAGTGTCATTTACATTAGGTAAACAGATCAAGAGTGTATTTTTTGATTAAATATGTGGTGAATGGCTTCACTGGTACCGGCTTTACATCTGGTTTCGCTTGCCTGTGTGTCAGTCAAAAGTAATAAAATGGGGTCTTCTGGAACAGGGTTCTGTTCAGTTTCTAAATAATTTAGTTTAGATGCTAATTGTCCATTTGCTTTGATTTGATGTTGAAGTTCTCTCAGTTTATTCTGAGTATCACATGATAGACTTATAGCTTTCATAAAGCAACCAGTCACCACCCTTCTTTTTAGCACTTCTCTTTCCATTTAATCTGCTACTGCCGTGTGCTCTGCATTATGGGTATTTATTCTAATAGAGCTGTTTTGCGCTTTTTAAACATACATACTGCTATAAAGTGTGTTAAAATGAATCCTGACTCTGACAGCTGGTTTTCTCATCATAGACTCTGCCTGTTTTCTGGGTTTACTTCAGCACTATATACAATCTGTGTTGGAGGATCTTTGTTTCATGCCATTTTTTTGCTATATTTTTGTCTGAGACAAGTAGGAGAACACTGTTTGTGCAAATCTTGACATGGAAAAGAATTGTGTACAACCAAACACTCAAATCCAAAAGAAACATGTTTTTGTCCATGTCAGGGAACATCAGGGAGTGAACTGGTGTCTCTTCTTCTCTGGTTTTATTGTTGTATTTAAAAAAATGAAATAATGTTATTTGTGTTATTCAAGTGTTCTTGAACATCTCTATCCACCCTGTAGAGCTGGTAGAATTTCATGTTTTCTGTTAGTGTATCCATTTAGATCACCTTTCGAATTTGGCCTTAAACGAGTGTGTGTGTGTGCGCGTGTTATGTGTGTAAATTGAGAGCTGCTTGTGGTGAGAGGTTTGTTGTGTATTCCTAGTCTTACTGCATGGGTTGTTACGGTGTTTTGGTTCAAATTTTGTCTTAATGTGAAAAAGATGATTTTTACACCGCCTGTTAGGTTGAAATGTGATTTGTCCTTGGTCAGTAATTCATACTGAAAGTTTAAAACAAAAGTTCAGTGGAAATGGAAGCTAATGCACCATTACAGAATACACTGAGCGGCCCTGCACTGGATTACAGTGAACTAGTGGGGTGACTTTAAGAATGTTTGACAAACACAAAACTAAAAATCAATGACAGTGTAATGCGTGAGAGCATATTAAAGTGCTACTGTATAACAGAAAACAAACTTTAAATTTAAATATTCAGTAAAAATTAATTGGGTGACGCAAAACGAGTCTTTTTTTTTTTTACATTGACAAATAAACGTTTGCTAAGTATTCTGTTAAAAATACCTTTACAAATTTAACTGCAACAGATAGTTTTTTTTTTCAGCAATCATCAAATGAGCCGAAGCTGTGATATTTTTTCCCCTACAGTGATTTAACTGGCAAGACATCCAAATTTGTTTAGATGACATCACTGCATATAGCAGTCAATGAGGCCCATCACTGAATGTGACTGTATTCTGAGAGCGAAAACGTGTCAAACTATAATCTAGCATTGTCTGGGTAAAACAGAGTTTGAAAGTACGGCTGGAATGGATGTAACAAAATTGTAGGACCTGTTTTGACAGGATACTTTAAGGTTTAGATATCTCAACTTGAATGGTAGGAGAGTGCGGCTCTCAGTAAGATGGAACTATCAAGACGTGTTTCTGATGTGTAAAATACAATTTTCTCTTGGAATGTATCCCAATGTGAACTCCTATCCTCATATCTTGCACTTTTTAATTTTTTTAATTATTATTATTTGGGTGTTATTATTTGTGTTTGCCATAATTAAAAACACAGTATATTCATTTGAAAGTGGTTCGAGATTTGTTTTGCTCCCATTTATTCATTTATTGTTAACCATTCTCTTTCCCAGTATTCTTGCACATATTGTATTATTATTATTATTTTAGGAATGTCAGTTTAACAAGTTAAAAAACACCACTAATCATGAACCTGACCTTTACATCAATTATGAATTTTCCTAATTATTTTAGCTGTAACTCTGTTTAAACATTTAAACACAAACAATTTTTGCACATTTACACATTCAAAAATATATTCCTAAGATGATGTTGCAGTTCACACTGTACTTTTTAGTTTTAGTGAGTCCTGTGCATGCATTTGAAGAAAATCTGACTCATTTGCGACAAAAAAGAAAACAAATTATAGCCACAATTTACAAAATATACACAACCTGTAAAATTAACACAACTTGCAATCGCTCAGTTTTTACAGTATTTAGATATCAGAAAGGATTTGTTCTTATGTTTATCTCTGATCTCTCGTTTCATCTTCATACACAGGCAGAATTTTATTTCACCGCTCAATGCGGTCATATTTACATGTGTATGCAGAGGTAAGTGTATACAAATGGTGGTGGTTTATTTATATCTTTAGTAGTATGAACGTACATTTCTAAAAAATGTCAAGTGCGGTGATTGTCAAACAGTAACATGTTCACAGTTTTTTCCAATAACGGTCTCAAACAGAATAAAAAATTATTGCGTTGACATTTTTTTTAATTACCGTAATTCCTTGATGACAATTTTGCTCAGATTCCGCTAAAAGCTGTTTGCCTTGTGACTTCACCCATAACAGCTAAATAGCTGTGCAACTTTGCTGTCTATGATAGTAAAAAATTTAATCACTATATTATATCACTTATCCTTGCTGTCTCATTTATGGAATACTAGAAGTGCAGATTATTGGCTAACATAAAAATGGCATTATAGACAAAGATGTGCTGAGTTTGCTACCCAACTAGCATTACTTTTAGTCTTTTTTTGTAATTGATCATAACTTGTAAATGTGCATTGACGTGAATAGCTTTTAGTATTCGTAAATGCATAATTAGGGTAATTCTGACACAATGTGAAAACAACAATAATTCATGCAAAACTGCAATGCATTACTTTAAAAGGGTAACTAGTTTTGGTTGGTTCCCACCCTTGTATTGTAAATGCTAATATGGCCAATTGTTCACATTTGCATGAATATGAAGCCACATTCCTCAGTGTTGATGATCAAATCCAGTGTAGCCTACAGCAGGAACAGTAGCTAGTTAACAGTCTTGCTAAAGACATTATACAATACCTTGTACATTCAATTGCTGCGAAAAAAAATATTTTCAAAATGTTGCTTACTCCTTAGCACTATTTTTAGTGCTTATCTTTGAGAGGGATTGGTTAAAGATTTTAAATGCTCTGGGGAGAATGTAAACTCTTATTTCCGTCTCTTTGCAGTCAAAGCCGTTCAGGCATACAATGCCATGAGGTAAAGAATCACCAAGTTCAAGTTCAACTAGACTTGAGAGAGTTGCTGGTTAAAGTTTTAGGTCTCCACAAAAGGTCAACCATTTTTAATGCCTTCATGTTTCCCGTTTTAATTTTTCCTCTCTCACTCGTACAGTACATCTTCAGGTTGCTTGTTTGATGTAGCACTTGCTTCTCACTGTGGCTGTGTAATACCACAATGCCTTGGAAAGGTCCAGTGTAGTTCCATAGAGTCACACAGACAATATTAGAGCCCCTTTATCTACATCTGTTTGTGCATTCAAATTAGACGCTCTTCGGGTGGTACTTTCAGCATGCTGTCCATCTCCAGGCGTGCACCAGCAATCTCCTGATGGCTTGGGGAATAAGTTCCTTCTGATTGCCGCTTCCTGCGTGCTGTCATCAACATAAAAATGAGTCCAATGGCCACCAAGAGGATACAGCCACATGCCAGTGGAACCGCAATGGCCAACCATGGTATATGTTCTTGCTGAGCCTGTTTCTGCAGACAGAGATTCAAATCATTATTGTTAGCAGGTATACAAATAACACTCAACACTACGGAACTAATTTGCATGCTTATTATTATACTCAGTGTTTTCTTACATTTGTTTCACAGAACTGGCCACTGAATCCTGCTGGACACAAACATTGAAAATGGTTCAGCCGATCCAGACATGATCCACCGTTTAGACATGGGCTAGATGCACACTCATCAACTTCTCTCTCACATCTGTGGAATTAAACATGTACTCAAACACATAAGCACTTAGTCGTCTATATCAGTATATTTGTATATTAAATTTATTTCTAATGGACAGTGATGTAAGAGTTAATTCTACCTGTCTCCTGTGAATCCTGGAGGGCAGGTGCAGTTTGCCCCCCATTGAGTGTCATGACAAATGCCATCATTTTCACATTCAACATCTAGTTCACACTTAAGAGGAGGGTAGTTATACCTGATGAACAAGAACACAAACAAAAAATTTTATAAACTTCAGGCTCACTCGGGTAACAAGAAATAACTGTAATGTAAAACAAAGTGGGCTATTTGAAAAAATGAATAATGATATTTTTATATTGGTGTTCATGAGCATTTACAATTGCAACCAGGTTTGCAGTTGTCTCTCTGAAGGCCACATTATAACCCCTGTTCTCTGTTGGAAGGCATATGTACTGTAAGTTACACCGAGTCAAGTCTAGGCATCAGTGTGTGTGATTTGTAGGAACTCACTGACAACGTGTTCCGCTGTACTTGGGTGGACAGATACAGGTGAAGTCATTAACTCCATCTACACAGGTTCCCCCATTCTTACACTTCAATCCTTTGCAGTCGTCTATGTTTTCTGAACATGTAGGTCCAGCATATCCTGGGTGACACAAGCAGTCAAACCCATTAAACTTGTCTTTGCACTGGCCATGAAGACAGGGTCCTGAGACACACTCATCTGTTTCTTTCTCGCAGGCGATCCCTTCCCAGCCAGGTGGGCACTGGCAGCCAAATGTATTGAAAAGATCCACACACGTACCACCACGTCTGCAGGGATGAGAGAGGCACACTGGAGCCCCAATGCAGCCTATGTGCACATGCTCATCTTGTCGTCGCCAAAATTGTGATGTTTGGGGTAATTTGGTATGGTCTACAAATGGAAGGTACACCTCACCAACTCTGACAGCACCTAGACATCCTGTGTACGTCTCTGCTAGTGCGACTTCACTTGACAAGTCTTTAAGAAAACTTAAACTACCAGCAAGTTCTGGGGCACTGCTCCCATCAATGATGCCATCCACCAGAATGAACCACTGCGATGCATCACGTTCTGGATTGGCCATGGCAACCATCAGGTGATGCCAGTTTCCATCTGCAATGTGTCTCTGTCCAGAGAATATCACTGGTTCCACGCTGTTCTCGGTTTGAAGCTCCACATGAATGGCTGAATCCACTAGACCAATCAGTAAAAGCTCCGCTTCTTTCCATGCATGAAGTAACACAGCATTTTCCTGCCTTGTACGGAGCTCCATGGTCACATTGGTCACTGGGAAAACTAGAGATCCCTTAGCACTGTAGTGTAAGGGTGTGTTGTCAAAGGTCGCATTAGCAATGCCTGATAAGACAAAACATTTTTAATTACAAATTATATTTACAATTTTTTACACATTTTACACATTATTTTTATGACTTGATTATCAATACATAATATTTCTGAATGAACTGTTTTGCTAACAGGATCTTCAGGAAAATGCCAAATATACACTGGATGTTTAAGATAAGCATACACTCAAAACCACCCAACAGATCCACGCAGCGTCCACCATTTAGACACGGGTCGCTGACGCACCAAACCCGAGTTTCACATGTCTTTCCGGTGAAATCCAGAGAACAAGAACAAGTAAAGTCATTCCATGTTACTGTGCACTCTCCACCATTTAAGCAAGGCTCCACCTGCAAATCAACCAAACAATATCAGCTCTATCCAACAGTAATTGTCCATTTAAATAGATCAAGTGGAATAAAAGCTATACATGTTTCTACATACCTTGCATGTGTCATCACTCATGCATCCAGGAAGCACGTTCTCTGCATGACTGGAGATATATACAGTCTCACTGAGGGTACTGTTCCAGTCTTCCACATTCAGATGCTCGTCGTCTAGTCTCAGGTCCTGCAGGCAGCCCTTAAAATGACCCCCCCAATCAGCTGCACCCTCTTCACCTGGAACCCCACCAACATACACCAGGTCTCCCTCTAGAACTTCCAAGTCAGACAGAGAGCCAAGCCCGTAGCGCAATCCACCATGGCTAAAGAACACCTGACCTTCCTGTACATCCATCTGATGCATTTGCTTCTCTCCATTACAGACAAACACTGGTGATGATAAGATGGGTGACCCCACCCCAGAGGTCACATGTACTCGTCCCATTTCCAGATACATGGTAAAATAAGGATCATCATCCTCTGTCCCTTGAAGCCCTGCCCTATGTAGCTGAACTAATAATCCACTTGGTTTAAGAGATCGTAGGAAGAATGACACACTAAAGTTCTTGCCAAAATCAGACAGCAGTTCAAATGCAAGAAAGCTTGTAGAGTCCTCATGACTGAATGTCCAAAAAGAGAAATCTGTGGAAGAAAGAGAAATAGAGAAACAAGTCAAGCAATGTTTTATCAATTCTTATATAAGATCCCCTACACCACAAGTCCAGTCCTGGAGGGTTAGAGCTAAACTTAGCAAAAAAAGTTGCCCTCCAGTACTAGAGTTTAATTCCCCAGCTCTGTACATTCCCACAAGATCAATGTTTGAGTGTATGAGCATATGTGTATGCATACCTTGGCTGCAGTCACGTCCATAGTGAGGTCTATAACAGTCACAGCGGTAGTCTGTCCAGAGGTCGACACAGTGCCCTTGTTGAGAGCAGGGATTTGGGTCCACCCCACACCATTCCGTCTTTATACAGCCCAACTCTATGCTTGCCTCCTCGTCTTCGAGATCATGCGGCAGTACACGATGGCCATCCACCTGTAGGTCCTCCATACAACCCAAAAAGCCATTGCCACTTAAGGTTAGATCCATGTACTCCTCTGGTACTCCACCCACATATAACTTTGTGAGGCTATCATGGTGCAAGAAAATTTCTTGACCATCTGGTAGCTTGTATTCAACTCTGCATGCTTGATTGTCACAGGCTGGACCATTAACTTGCAGCACAAGTCTGATATCCTGATCCCATCCATCAATGTTCACCACTGCCTCATGCCAATCTCCGTCACTTACAAGCCTGGGTAATTGTGCCTCCAGTGACCCGCCCTCCTTTGATATTGCCTTGGCATGCAGCTCACCCCCAACAATCTCCAGAGAGAGGAAAAAATCAGCATTGCCACGAAAGAACAGCAGCATATCAGGCAGTGTGGTGCGGAAGCGCAGGCGGACCCCCCGGGGGTGTTCATGTTCTTCTATGTCTCTCCTTATGCGCTTGAATGGTGGAACTTCAATAAGAAAGAACTTTGGTGAGGAGAAGGAGAATGTGGTTGGTGCTGAACATACGTCATCATAGAATCCAGGTGGACAAAGACAAGTATGTTTGTGTGTCTCTCCATCCGACCATGGCAAGCAGGTGGCTCCATTTTGGCATGCATGTTTAATGCAACCACGGAGTTGCACAGTGCATTGGGGTCCCCCCCATGGCAGGAGACCTTCCTCAGCTTCTGCACAGTGGCACTTATATTCAGCCACTCCATCTTCACATACACCTCCATTAAGGCAGGGGGCACTCTCACACTCATCTATATCAACCTCACACTCCACACCTGAAAAAAGACATGACATAAAGTTAACAATACAAACATACATATGCAAACACTTTCCCTTATGCAAACACTAACCTGCAAACCCCTCTGGGCATATACACATATATCCGTTTACAAGATCTTTACAGCTTCCTCCATTGTGACACGGCTCAGATACACACTCGTTTATGTTCACCGAACAGTTCTCCCCTGGGAGAACAAATAAACAAAACAAATAAACAGCATGACAAAGCTCTTTTTCTACGTAAAACATTGGATCGATACTTGAGTAACCTTGACCACCCATTCAATCACATATTGGGTGACAAAATAGTTAGACTCAACTCTGGAACAAGTTCTTAAAATGAAAGCTGTTGTATTGGTGCCTTGTCTGTATTGATTTACTGTACTGTTTTACATTTACATCTGTGGTGTTATGTTGCCAGTACCTGTGTATCCTGGTTGGCACTGACAGACGTAACCTGCAGCTGTGGCATAGGTGAACTCCCAGTCTGTGTCCCAGTGTTCTGGTTGTGACTTCTCAAAACATTCGCCGTCGTTCTCACAGGGAGTATCAGCACATTCATCTATATCCACCTCACAGTTTTCTCCTTCAAATCCTATTCACACATCAACATCATTTAAGATTGTTGCAAAGTTAGATTAAAGACTTGAGTGTAATTTTTGCATGAAGGAGAGCTACCTGGCCAACAGGTACAGTTGTAGTGGTTAATGCCCTCTAGACAAGTTGCTTCATGTTGGCAAGGATATGATGCACACTCCAGAATATCCTCCTCACAGTGGTCTCCCATAAACCCAGTGCCTTCACATTCACACTCATAACTGCATACAAACGCACCCAAAATCAGACAGTCAGTACACACATAGTCTTAAACATTTAACTATCAACATAAAATCAGGTCTGCATTGTGGCTTTTTCTGGCCAATAACCAACTACTTAGACAGGAAGAGACTGACTAATAGGTAACTTCAGGCATTCCCATAATTCCTGATTTCCCTTACCTATCGATGAGGTCGTAGCAGATTCCTCCATTCTGACATGGATCACTCTCACATTCATTGATGTTAATTTCACAGTCTGAACCTTCAAACCCCTGCACACAGTCACAGGTGTATAGCCCTACTAGGTCATGACAGGTGGCTTCATTTTGGCATGGATTTGACTCACATTCATCGATCTCCATCTCACAGTTTACTCCTACAGAGATTTAGAACACAATACAATGATATGCCAATTGTTGTCAGTGTGAACATCCATGTAAACCAGGAATGCCCAATCCTGCTTCTGGAGGGCCATAATCCTGTAGAGTTTGCTTCCAACCCTAATTAAACACACTTGAACCAGCAAATCGAGGGGTTTAGGATTACTAGAAACTTCCAGGTAGGTATGTTGGAGCTATACTTGGCAGAACCTTGGCCTGTCAGGAGCGTGATTGAGCATACCTGCTTTAGACTGTTAACAATACCATGGTGCAATAATACCAAAAGATGGTAAAACTAAAGGTTTCAAACAAGGTAATGAGAAGTTCACACACCCACACAGATTACCTGTATATCCCAGCAGACATTCACACAGGTACTGGTCTTTTCCATTAATACAAGTTCCATTGTTCCAACAAGGTCGTGATGCACACTCGTTTATGTCAATCTCACAGTTGTGTCCTTGGTATCCAGGTACACAGAAGCAGTGATACTTGTTGGTCCCATCCACACAGATTGCACCATTCTGACAAGGATTTGATTCACACTCATCCACGTTCTCCTCACAGGTCTCACCACGGAAACCTTCTGAACAGGTGCATTCAAATCCGTCCACTATCCGTCTACAGGTGCCATTGTTGAGGCAGGGTTCATCAACACAGTCTATGATGCGACGACTGCAGTCCTCTCCTCCGAAACCAGGTGGGCACAGGCATTTGTAGCCATTCAGCTCATCTACACACTCAGAGAGGGCCCCTACACATGGCCCACTTTCACACTCGTTGATGTCCTCTGGGCAGGTGTAGTGCTCTGTGCCAGGTTCAGTCACACACCCTTCACATTCAGCAAACACACAAGCATTGTACAGCTCATCGCAGTCCCTCCCCATGTACCGCACTCCTTCCCGTGAACACAAACACACATAGTCATCCATTGTATCCACACACGTCGCCCCATTTTGGCAGGGTGAAGATGCACACATGTCAGATGACGCAGAACAGAATACACCTGGTGAAAGAGAGACAGGATTTAAATGTTACACCTCTTAGGCACAATCCCAGTTCTAGTTTATAGCCCTTCACCACCTACAGAGTGTCAAGGGGTAGGGGTGAAAAAGTTCCCCTAAGAAATGGGACACCATTATTACACTGTTACACATCATCATGCCGTCACTAACTCCTACAATACACACACACACCATGGTCTGTCTGAATACCGTGTGCATTAGAACCGCTTAATTACTGTTCTATATTAATGTGCTGCTTTCATTGACACACACACACACACACACACACACACACACACACACACACACACACACACACACACACACACACACACACACACACACACACACACACAGGAGATACACAAACATCTAGGAGCAAAGAAACTTGTCACCGCTGTCCCGTGACTGTAATTAATAAAGTAGCTTCAATACTGAATTGCTACATTATATTTTCCAGCAACAAGAGGATAAAATCGCTGTTTTTGAAGTAAACACACTCATTGTAGAGAGAGAGAGATGCATGGAATTTACACATGCAACTTTAATCTCTCTCTCAAAATGGCCATATTTGACAAACAAGTTTTGAGATTTCTAATTATACTTGTCCCCCTCAACATCTATGGTGGTTAGGGTTAGTAATGGTTTAACATTAATGGTTTAATGTTACCAAACTTTACTGTTTGCAATTTTTTTACAAACATTTCTTTGAAGAACATGACTGTAAATATGAACACATGATTGAATGTAACATAAAACGCATTATTTTTCATTAAAATCCTTGTTTATGCCAAAAATACGTACATCTCTGCCCGAGCGAACCATCTACAACCACTTTGCAAACAACTAAAAACAACTCGGCAACCACATTGCAGCACTCTAACATGTGAGTGGTGAGTTCTGCACACTACTCGTTTTCTTCATAATAATTTAAAGATTCTGTTGTAATATATTACTATGATAGCAAAACGGAAAACAGACAGAGACACCCGAGACAAAGGTAACACTGACATCAGTTAATAACCGGCTGTTGATCCCAAACCTTAATTCTGGGTAAGACTGACTGAGCCTGAGGAATAAAGAGAGAGAATCTCTTCAAAGTCAGCATTACAAATACCAAGCCCATCTGTGAGGCTGATAATCATTTGTGAGGTTCAACATTTTTTTTTTACCTTTCTCAGTCATAACAATTCTTTATAAATGTACTTTAGACCTTGAACTAAAAGATTGAATTTGAGAGATCCCCTGTAAATTGTGACCTTGTCTTTTTTTTGAGTATTGCAAAACGCATATTTTGTTTGCGCATATGAGTGTGAGAGCAGAGAGTGGTACAGAGCATTCACAGGGATTTTCTCGTACAAATCAGCCAGTCGCATGAGCACTCTTTGAGTCATTCCAAATTCCTGTTATCTGCATGACCTCGACCCTCAATCTCACGCTGTTATAGACATGAACCATCACTGAGCCAGATGACACATAATGATGTCAGTCACAAGTGTTAAGTCCATTGACGGCACACATACATGAATTGACTTTTCTAGTTTTCTTTTTTTTTTTACTTTATCTCCCTCAAACTCTCTCCTTCCTGTAACTGAAGGACACTGATTACCTGCTTTCTGCTCTGTCCTCTGTTAACCTGTATATCGTGTGGCCTGTTTACAGAAAATGAAAGTGGATTACACTGTCTGTACCTAATTTAGCTTATGTACTCTCACACAAACACGTGTGCTTGAACACTCTCACTGACTCAACCTTTAATTCAGAGTATTTCTGCACACTTTGGATATCATCAACATTAATTTCAGACTGAATGTTTTATTCTTTCTGTCTTGTGCAGCCAGTGAAAAGACTATTTAAAGTCCATTAGATGTGCGTACCGTCAGAGACGAGTAGGTCAGTGTCTTCATGTACTGAGATGACCGTAATCCTCTCAGAGTGGTGTGTGTAAAACAGGACAGCTTTAGGTTAGTCTACACTACTAAGCCAGCTTTTGTTACCTTAGGATACAGTTCTCTGCCACTTTGTTTTAAAGAGATTACAGAGAGTGACTATTTTTCATGAGTTAGATATAGAAACTGCAAGGCTGCTAGTTATTTTAATAGAAACTATATATGTAATTGTATATTACAAATATAACAACGAAAAAACAAAACAATAGATTAACCAGTATAATTTTTTATCATTACTTTTATTCAGCATGGATGCATTCAATTGATCAAAAGTGGCACTGAAGACTAGAGTAATGATGCTGAAAATCTAGGTTTCAATCAAAGGAATAAATTACATTTCAAAATATATTAAAATATGGACAGCAACCAAATGTGATGCGTTTAGGCTTCAGGTGGAGACAGGCTGTAGTGGATCTGATTAGCCAGACTTTAAAGGGGTCATATGATGCTTTTTAAAAGATCATTATTTTGTGTATTTGGTGTAACAGAATATGCTGAAAGAATTGCTCTAAACTCCAAACTCTGTGAGAAAAAGTTAGAATTAGATTTATTTCCCCCTCCAGAATTAAATTATAGTTTATATGACTTTTCAATTTTGTTTTTTCAAAGTGTGAGATATTCACTTTGAATTGTGAGGAAAAAAAATCCATAATTGTGAGATTAAAAAGTTGCAATTACCTTTTTTTTCTTATTCTGTGACGGAAATGAGCTTCCATGATTTTATTTATTTATATTTTTTTATGGTTGTATTTGTAGTTTTAGTTCCATTCATTCAACAATAATAACCCTGTAACACACTGTATAGATTTGGGAGTTAAGAGCTCTACGATCTCTAATGGCTGTGAAATTTGTAACGGGTTTAATGGCCCAGTCAGATCTGTATGAGATAACACTCACTTAATATGCATCTGTCCAGAGATCGGGGTGGGAACGGATGGGTAACAGAGAGAACGAGAGTGTGACAGCAGCTGGGACGTGTGTGTGATGTGTGACAGGACTCTGTGATATCCTGTGATCTGTTTATTTTCACAGATGCAGGAGAGCTGTTTTTTTTGTCTGTATGCATGCTTAATTCTTCCATGTGAACCTAAAAATTCTGAGATTCTGAGAAAGTTCTGAGATTAAGAATTTAACTTTTCAGACTAAATATAAGTGATGTTTTGACTCATGGTGAATATAAGAGTATTAATAGCTGTTAGCACCAACATGAACTCAGACTTAGCAAATCTTTGTCATTAGCTCTAGACTCAGGCACTAATTAGCTTTATTCACCCCTGCTCCTAAATCTATTACACAAAGTTTTAACCTTTTAGACTTTATAGGTTATGCTTTTGAGTGTTATGCCACATGAGCATCAACAAGAGGATTTTAGCATTAGTTCCGGCTGAAGGACATGAGCTTTATTTTTCCACATGCATCTAAAAACAAAACTAGTGCTGTCAAATCGATTGATCACATCCAAAATAAAAGTTTATGTACACATAATATGTGACCATGTACCACAAAATCAGTCATAAGGGTCAATTTTTTAAAATTGAGATTTATACATCATCTGAAATCTGAATAAATAAGCTTTCCATTGATGTATGGTTTGTTAGGATAGGACCATATATTTGGCCGAGATACAACTATTTGAAAATCTGGAATCTGAGGGTGCAAAAAAATCTAAATATTGAGAAAATCGCCTTTAAAGTTGTCCAGATGAAGTTCTTAGCAATGCATATTACTAAACAAAAATTAAATTTTAATATATTTACAGTAGGAAATTTACAAAATATCTTCATGGAACATGATCTTTACTTAATATTCTAATGATTTTTGGCATAAAAGAAAAATCTATAATTTTGACCCATACAATGTATTTTTGGCTATTGCTACAAATATACCCCAGCGACTTAAGACTGCTTTTGTGCTCCAGGGTCACAAATATGTGTGTGTGTGTACTGTGTATATTTATAAGTATATATAAATACACTCGCATGTATAAATGTAAGAAATATTTACATGTGTTTATATTCATAATTATATATGATTTATATTACAGTATATATAAATATATCTATTACATATATTTCTTAAACATATACACGTATGCGTGTATTTATATATACATGTAAATATACACAGTAGACACACATATATTATGTATACACAAACTTTTATTTTGGGTGCGATTAATCATGATTAATCGATTTGACAGCACAAAACCAAACATAATATTAGTGTTGAACTCTAGTTTTATCAACCTAATTTGTGGCAGCGTCAGCGTCTGGAGAGTTTAAAATCAGAAATGTGAAGCTTGTATTTTTGTTACAGCACAGATGCTATTTACTTTGTAAAAGAACTGTTTATTGAGGTAAATTGGAGTCTAAATGGTCTTTTCTTTCACAGGTGGATGAATGTCTGGTTGTGTAACATGATGTAATTCCTGCTAGTGGGATTTTATCCATGTAAACTTATATCCTTGCATGGTTGTGACATTGATGTTAAAAGATTGGATCTAACTTGACATTGGCAAGGTTGGTAAGTGATTCTACACATTTTTTTTTCTTTTAGTCTGAATTATTTTCTGTGGTAATTGTCACAAATGTTGTTCACAGAATTTACTTTTATATTATTCTTATAATCTAATTATTACTTACTTATTATAATATATTACTATACCAAAACATTAATTTAACTATCTAAATATATGTCATATTTTTGAGCATTAATTCACACAGAAACATAATTTGTCAATGTTAGCATAACCCTGCTTATTGTATCATTATTAATTACTTGTTTTGTATTCTTATTTTCTTATTATATATACATATTTCTATATAATAATAATATCATTTTTTTTTACCCTATTACCCAAAACGTTCATTTAACCCTCTACTCTAAATATGGTGATGTTTTGAGAATTGATCCACACAGAGACATTATTTGTCAATGTTAGCTTTAACCCAAACACCTCTAGGTAGTATAAGACCACTTAAAGTACTTATTAATATTATAATTTATTATTATATATACAGGTAATACACTCTATTACCCAAAACATTCATTTAACCCTCTAAATATGGTGCATTTTTTGAGCGTTCCATTATGAAAATTAGCCAAGGTTTTAATAAAACCAAAAAAACATGGTTATTATAGTTAAACCACTGTAATCACAAATTAACCGCATGCATACACTAACCATATAGTTTAACCATGGAATTTGTAGTAAAACTGTGGTTATACAAATCATAATCAATACACCAACAAAAAAAAAAGGTTACTACAATCTTACTGTAATAAAACCATGTTTTTTTTTTTTGTAAGGGTTGATCCACAAAGATGCTATTTGTTAATGTTTGCATCAACACAAACACCTAGCTATTATAGGTTTACTTTTATTAGCAGAATCTTGACTGTGGGGGTGCAGTGGACTGTGTTGTGATGAATTTGGGAACTCGCTGTGTTCTTGTTGGGATTAGGGTTGGGGGCAGGGTCCATTGTAGACCTTTTCATTGAAAAAAGTCATGTGAATTCCAGGATCCCCCTCGTTTCCTTTAGCACCTGACGTCACATTTGCATGCTTGATTTGACATGAACTATCAGCTCAGTCAGAACATCAGACCAGTTTCACCCACTGTTCCCCTTGTTGAATTTCCCCATTGACTCCCATTAGTCAATGCAAATGCACTACAGATGCAGTGTTTGTAATTGCCACACCATACCTGAGACCTGGACAGCAGGATCTGTGAGTGAGTTGTGACTAAGCAGTGATAATGTTAGTGCAAACCTTCCATTTCCATTCCAACACTTAGAACCAAAACTAATGTTGAGCAGAGCGATATTGGCATGCTGTCTGTTTCACTGGAACACAGAGTTTATCAAATTAGCTCCATTTGGAGAAAAGTCTTACCTATTCAATTCTTTAACAAATACTTTAAATGGTTTTTTAAAAATAATTTTTAACAATTAATTTTTCTTACAAAAAAAAAAAAGTTGCCCAAGTTACAACACTGTAAAATTAATTTTTGAAGTTGTAAATAAAACATAAATTTGAGTAAAAAGATTGTTGGAGTACATTTTAAGAAAATACTATTTTAGTCTTTCTACTTCAACATTTCAGCTTAATTGACTGTGTTACTTGCCTTTTCTTTGTAATTATTTGTGAAATTTATGAGTAGTTTCTAAGTGAAAATCATTTCAGTGTACAGTTTTTGTTATTACTGTAAAATGTTAACACTTTTTCAACATGCAGTCCATTTAACTGAATCTTTGTTCCAATAAAAATGATAAATATTGCTCTGGTTAAAGTAAAAAAAATCATTAATAATCATTTAAAGTGGAAATAAGTGTTATGTAAATAGAAAACTTTTTGCACACATTATCAGAACACTAACAGTAATGTTTACACACATTTACATGCACTATTTACTTTTATTTATATCTTCAAACAACACTTCATCAGTACTTTAGACTGAAAACTTTGTTACTATCCATGAAATATCCCCTACATATGATCATCATAGAGTTAAATACTCAGAGACAGCTTGGCCGTGCAGTCAGATGAAAGAGCGTTAAGCCTACGGGATGCAAAAGCAAACAGAGCTCGTTAGAAGTGCTTAACGCAGATTCCACCAGCACACAACGTCCAAATGACTCAGCCCTAGTGTCATGGCAACGGGACACAGTGGAACCCACCCCCCAAAGTTTTTCTGTTTCAGACAGTAGCCTGAGAGTGGGGCGGAATCGGACTGGATGGATGGAAGGAGGGAAAATAGACGAGTAACCTCCCCCATACTCCCGTCTGTACCATGCACCAGTTATTTCCACTCCAGACAGGACGAGGGATGCAAGTAACACTCCAGTGCACATCTTTGGGAGTGCCAGATAACAGAAAATGACCACAACACTACACTAATGCTAAAAAGAGTGCGGCAGGGATACCATACACTCTTAAAAATTAAGGTTCTTTATTGGCATCTTTGGTTCCATGAAGAAACTTGAACATTTATGGAAACTTTCCATTCAACAAAAGGTTCTTTATAGTGGAAAAGGGGTTTTAGATGATTAAAATATTCTTAACATTAAGAAAATGTGGTTCTTTTTTTAAGAACTGATCACTGAAAGGATCTTTGAGGAACCAAATATGGTTCTTCTATGGCATCTCTGTGAAAACGTAGACGTTTAAGACATAGTTCTATTTTGATTCCTCAAACAACCTTTCAGTAAAGAGTTCCAAAAAAGAAAAAAAAAATTTATTCTAAGTGTGAAGACCATTTTATTAATCTAAAGAACCTTTTTTCCACTATAAAGAACCTTTTGTGGAATGGAAAGTTTCCATGAATCTTCATGGAACCGTAGATACCAATAAAGAACCTTTATTTTTAAGAGAGTAGAAGATATGATATCTTGTAAACAATAAAATGAGCACTCAGGGATTAACATAAAGCTTTTCCTTTAAAATCTAAAAATTATTATTTATTTTTTTTTATTTATTTTTTAATGAATAATTCACCACCATGATGCCAGAGTGTTGTGGGTGGTTGCCAGGGTATGGCTATGTGGCTGCTAGGGAGTTCTGAGTGGTTGCTAGGTGGCTGCTTACTGGTAAAATTCAAAAGAGCCCATCACTCCTTCTATATTACATTCTCGTCTCTTGATATGGCATTATGATATTTTTGTTTTTATAGTGTGGATAAAAGTACATGCATTTGCTTCCATCTACCCCATTATAAACAGTAAAATTTGCCAAAAAAGATGCAATAGAGCCACACAAAACATCCAACCTGTTGCTCTTGACTCTAGCAGAGACATATATGATAAAACTGGGCCTTTCTCAGAATAAAACACATATAAATAACCAAATATTAGCAATACATTACAATCGGTCTATTTCTATCTATTCTCAACAGTTTTTAATGATCAGTGTCCCATACAGGGAGACATTTTTTTTCAGCACGTAAGAAGTAACCATGTGTTGTTCAACATATGTATTTATGAAAATGTATATTTATAAAATATTACATCTTGTTTCCTGTGATTTCTGTAGGTATTGAGAAAGAGAGAAAACTCACCCCATTTGAACATCATCATGGTCAGTAAAACTGTCCCAGGGCATTTCTGATGCACTTTCCTGATCTCCATGGTGATGTGAAACAATCCAAACAAACCAAACTAGACGTCCTTTAAGTTTAATGTCTCTTTGAGTCCTTCATAGTGGAGCAACCTTCAAATTAAACCTTCTTGAGGAACATCAAACGTCTGAGTTCCTGCATGATGCTGAAGTTGAAAGTCTACTCTGTTGAAATTCTCCTTGGTCTCTCAATTCCTATAAGCGCCAGGTCATGTAGTTCATGTAAAGTTCCTCTGTCCAGCATCGGAGCAGCCAGGCTAAGAGCAGTGGCTCATTGTACAGGCAGTAATGAGACTAACTCTCTCACCCAATCCCACTGCGACTTACCACACTAATCACCCTTGAGAGGGGAGGGGCCAGAAAAGCAGAAGTGGACTTCAGCACTCCTGTGTGTGTGTGTGTGTGTGTGTGGGTTAGGTGGGGGTGTTTACTTAGCTACACTTAGGAACAAAACTGTCCCTAGAACAAGCTTACCACACTAATCACCCTTGAGAGGGGAGGGGCCAGAAAAGCAGAAGTGGACTTCAGCACTCCTGTGTGTGTGTGTGTGTGTGTGGGTTAGGTGGGGGTGTTTACTTAGCTACACTTAGGAACAAAACTGTCCCTAGAACAAAACTAAATCAGAAAAAATATCCCTTTGAGGACTTCCAGGGATGTCCTAAAGGATAAAAATGATTGTTCTTTTTTTAATGCTATAATAAAAAAAAAATTGCTTAATAAAATAATAATAAAAAAGGTTTCTGGGAGGGCTAACATATAGAAAATATAATTTACGTAATAGAAATAATATAGAAATCAATGATATAAAAGCAAATGTGTTTGTATTTGTGGGCAAGTCATTTTTGTGTTTGAGGAAACTTACAAAGCTATCATATGTTTTGCAATTTTTCGAATTATATTCCAATTTACTCTGTAAAGAAATGACTTTTTGAAGTTGTAAATAAAACAAAGACAACTGGAGAACATTTTAAATGTAAATCAGATTTCAGTTTTTCTACTTAGAAATATCATGTTTATTTCAAAGTGTTATTTGTCAAATCAAAGTTAAAGTCAAAGTTTATTTATAAAGCACTTTTTAAAAACAGCAAGTGTTTATCAAAGTGCTGTACACACATAAACGAATAAAAATATCAATGATACAAACAGTCAACAACACAAAAGAAGACAATAAGACACCATAAAGACAATAAAAGAAAGCAGCTCTCATGTAGCATCAAATGCCATACTATAGAAGTAAGTTTTTAGGCTAGATTTAAAAACAGCAAGTGTTTGAGCCTGTCTAATGTATAGGGGCAAACTATTCCCGAGCTTTGGGGCCGCCACTGCAAATGCTCGGTCACCCCTGCTCTTCAACTTTACCCGTGTGACAACTATAATCAAATGGTCAGCAGACCTAAGTGCTCTTAACGGAGCATATAGCTTGATCAAGTCGGAAAGATATTTAGGTGCTAAATCATTAAGAGATATAAAAACAAATACCAAGATCTTAAACTGAATCCTAAAAGGGACAGGTAACCAGTGAAGCGAGGCGAGAACGGGGGTGATGTGTTCCCGCTTTCGTGTACCCGTCAGCAAGCGAGCTGCCGTATTCTGAACCATCTGCAGTCTGGAGAGAGAGGCCTGACTAATACCTATATAGAGGCCATTACAATAATCCAGACGAGTTGAAATAAAAATATGAAGGATTCTTTGAAAGTCTTTAGAAGACAGGAAAGATTTCACCTTGGTGAGTTGTCTCAATTGGAAAAAAACTAGATTTAACTACCGAGTTAATCTGTTTGTCCAATTTAAAATCACAATCCATGATAACACCTAAATTTTTTACATAGGGCTTCACAAATGGCTTCAATTCACCAAGGTCCAAATCTGATAACTCACAAGTACCTCCCGTCATAAACAGTATAACTTCTGTTTTATTTTCATTAAAATTAAGCAAATTTAGTGCCATCCAGGCCTTAATTTCCTCAAGACACTGCAACAGGGGCGCTAAAGAGCAAATATCTTTTCGTTTCAAAGGCAGATAAATTTGCGTATCGTCTGCATAACAATGAAAAGAAATACCAAATTTCCTAAAAATATGTCCTAAGGGGAGCATGTACAGGAAGAATAGAATAGGCCCCAAAATGGAGCCCTGGGGGACCCCACACATGAAAGAAGCAGTTGAGGAGACAAAGTCTCCAAAACGAACTGAGAAAGTTCTTTCGGACAAATAGGATCTAAACCATCCCAACGCAGTACTCTAAAATACCAACACATTGTTTTAAGCGTGTAATCAAGATCTTATGGTCTACAGTATCAAATGCAGCTGAAAGGTCTAGTAGAATTAAAATTGGTAGAAGAAAGTAGAATTTGTTATTTCTTTGAAATTAATTGTTTTATTTACTATCAATTTCTGAATGAAGTTTGCTGATTCATGTATGAGATTTTTATTCCTAAAATTATATTAAAACCTACTAATAAAATATAATTATATTTAAAAATGTATTTCAAACCTATAACTTCACATTGTTTTGTATTCCTAAATGTATACTGAAACCTACAAATAAAACATGATTATATTCAAACCCTACAATTTCACTTTGTATTCTTCTTTTTATTATCATAATTAATAATTTATGCATAACCTTTGCTCTTTTCTAGATCTTTTAGCAACATCTTTCTTGAGGCAAATAAGCAGGTGGACATCAGACAATGAAGGGTCAGGTGAGGTTTTGTGTTAGAAAAGCATACTACGCTAACCACCGTAATGCTATGTTGGTAATTCAGACTGTTTTGTTAGAAAACACTAAGCCCAGCTTTATCATTTCTTTCACAAATCAAGACAATCAAAAAACCTTTTCTAAGTGATTCCCTGCTGATTTTTTCCAACTGTGTATAATGAGCTGGTAAGATCTTCTATCCTGCTGAGCAATCACACAGTCCATTGGCATTAGTCATTCAAGGCTGCATTTCTTTATACTTACTAAACCAACAATGACCTGTTTTTATAAAACTATGAAACTTGTTGACCCAACACCAACCTCTGAATCATCTGTATATTCTAAAAATATTCCAGAGAATATATTTGGATTGAACTTTTCCTTACTGATTGTTTAAAAAAAGAAAAAGAAAACACACACACACGTTTGTTTTTGTGAATTGTGGGGACATTCCATAGGTGTAATGATTTTTATACTGTACAAACTGTATGTGCTATTGCCCTACACCAACCCTACACCTAACCCTACCCCTTACAGGAAACTTTCTAAAAAAAAACCTCACTCTGTATGATTTATAAGCACTTTGAAAAATGGGGACATGGGGTAATGTCCTCATAAGTCACCTTCTCCTATGTCATACCCATGTCATTATACAAATTTGTGTCCTCATATGTCACAAACACACACACACACACACACACACACACACACACAGAGAGAAAGCACAAAGATTAACATGTTGTTGTGTGGGTTCATTTTCTGTTGTTACTCCCGCTGTGTTACTGCCAGTCACTGTGATGTAAGATGCTATTGGTGTGTGCTGTGAGAATTTTTTTCAATGTTTTGAAACAAACTCACAAAGCTTCTTATGTTACTATTAGTTTGGACACATTCAATGCAGCCATTTAAATTGAAGCACCCTATTAAATATGTAAACATAATGCAGAGTTAATCATTACTGCAATATAAAAACAATCCTAATATAATGTCTACTAAATAAATATGAAAAATATGCAATTTTGCATTTTCATGTAATGTGATGTAAAATATCAAATGTATGAGTGTGTCTGCACAACTTCCTGTAAGGTTCATCCCACTTTAGAAAATGATTAGAAAAAACACTGCTATGTCATGTATCTCTGACTCATCACACATTTTGTTTATCAGAGAAAATTTTCACACTGTTTTGTTCTCTGATCCAGGAATAGCATGAGGCGTCCTATTTGTAAATGTTTGTGCACATTTCACCGGATGCTGACTTATGCTTTCAAGCTTGTGACAGTGTGTCACTCCTGGCCTTGAGATATGGACAGAGATTTCTCACACTCATTCACGTACATCTAGCACATCTTAAAGCTGTCATTTACAAAGCTTTAATGCAGCTTTACAAGCTTACAACATCATCCCTGTGCTACAAGAAGATTGTCATGACAAGTCCATAAAGCGCCAGTGCAAATGCAAACGCATTTAACCTCATTCTGATTTAGCATCTCAACTCTGACTTTTAATGCTCTCTACTTAAGATTTCTTAAAACTTGTAAAATAGCATGCATTTTATGCATGCTTTTATAATAATATAATGTGTTATTTTTTGGCCTTTTTCGGAGCTTGACAGCCTGAATTCCCCATTATGTAAGAAAGCAGCTCAGACAGTCTGTTTGAAACTTCTTCTATTCCACAGACAAAAAGGAAGTCTTACAGGTTTGGAATGAAACAAGGGTGAGTAAATTATGACAGAATGTCAATTTTTTGGCATTTAAAAAAAAACGAAATACTCTAAGGTGTGCTTTAGTGGACTGTGTACTGTGCAGCTCTTCTTGTATCCAAACCACTCTGTGTTCTCGTTGATATCCAGTGCTAGTTGTGTGATACTAGTGAGATACTTGTGCGTTTATCTACAGCGTTCTGTTCTTCCAGCATGGCTTTCAGATCTAAAGCCTACCTGGTGTTTCATCAGAACACATTTATCAGAATGTCTTAGAACTGTAGATACATTTGAATACATTTTAAATGTGAAACCATTAGTGTTGGAGACATGATCTGGTGTATGACCGCACATGAGCTCAAGTCTTGATCCCATCACCACCCGTCTCCCCATTGTTTCTTGTCTTTTTTTAGCAGTACATTTGATAATTGAGTGGCAAAAGCTCAAAAATACAGTGTTACAGCAGGTTTATCTATAGTTTTTCAACAAAATGAAACGTAACATCCTCTTCGGTTCCCCAAATAGAAAGTGTGAACTGGTGGATGATGTAATCCTGGTGTGTGCTGATTTAAAACAGTCAAGGATCCAAGTATCTGATTGGTTAGCAGCTATACTGGATGTGGGCATGAACTAGATTTAATTGGCTCAGCAAATTGGAACGTTATGTCAGGCAGGTTTGATAAAATATGCTTGTAGCTTGTTGCATCTTGAATTGTCATTGAGTCTGGCTGTGTAATGTTTGCATTGAGGTTTTTGCCAAAGTAAGGCTTTACGTACTACAAGACAAACATAAAGATATGTTTGAAAACTTTGAAAACATTTGTTTGCTGATGCATTTATGTTGAGGCCCTATAATGCAGTAAACTAAATAGAAAAGATGCATTTCATTTATTTAATTTGGGTTATTCATGAGCTTAGGATATGAGTCCCCATATGGAACTTTAATAAGATTAAGATGCACTGAAATTTCAATGCTAAGTCTGACCTACATTCACCAGCAGAAAACTAATCAACACCCCCTAAACAACCATGGGGACCGCAAAACCGGCACATATGGCTGGAACAAAAGAGTGCACCCTCATTGCTGTAAGACCCCCTAAGATGTCACCCTAAGTGCACTAATAAACAGTAATCTGCTTTCTGCATTACAACAACACATGCACACTACGCTTGTAACCACAAGCAAGGCTCAGTGCAGAACAATGACCATGATTGGATTATCAGTCGCAAATCGTTTTGATAGCACAAAGACCACGAGCACTTAACTGCACAGTCACAATGTAATGAACTCTTCATACAGATTACATATATACACTTATACAGGTGTAGTATGAATGTATATCTTTTCTTAATTCAATATAGTAATTACAGAGCATTTTTGTTTTTCTGCAACCTTAAAGTTGAATTTGGAAAATGCATGATTTCATGCATTAAAACATACAACATTGCAATCTATTTTATGTGCTTTAAAGTAATATGTTTCTAGTGGCATGTTGAGATAAATATAGAAGAGATTATCAGTGTATCAATATATATGTGCATAATTTGTTTTTCATTCTTTCATCAGAATGTAGTGGCCTTTTGGAGTAGTTACTGCAAATTCCCAGCAGAGGGAAGTATACAGCAGCACTACCGTCCGCAACCATTCTGTTTCGATGCAATATACAACATAGACTCCATTGCTAAAAAGGCCCAGCAGGGGTTGTACTTCCTTCGCCAACTGAGGAAATTCAACCTGCCACAGGAGCTGCTGAAACAGTTCTGCTCAGCCATCACTGAGTCCGTCCTGTGTTCATCCATAACTATCTGGTTTGGTTCAGCTACCAAATCAGACATTAAGAGACAACAACGGACAGTCAGGATTGCTGAGAAGATTATTGGTTCCCCCCTGCCCAACCTTCAAGATCATTACACCTCCAGAGTGAGGAAAAGGGCTAAGAAAATCACTTTGGAATCACTGAGTCCGTCCTGTGTTCATCCATAACTATCTGGTTTGGTTCAGCTACCAAATCAGACATTAAGAGACAACAACGGACAGTCAGGATTGCTGAGAAGATTATTGGTTCCCCCCTGCCCAACCTTCAAGATCATTACACCTCCAGAGTGAGGAAAAGGGCTAAGAAAATCACTTTGGACCCCTCACACCCAGTCCACTCTCTCTTTCAATGGTTGCCCCTTTGGTCGGCACTACAAAGCACTGACCTCCAGAACAGCCAGGCACAAGAAGAGTTTTTTTCCCCGGCAGGCAATATTCAGCCTGAACAATTAAAACTTTCATAACTATACATTGTCCATTATAACTGACACATTTATAGCATCTGAAAATTGTACATTTGTAAACTTCATAAACTCAATATCTGTACATTCATTAAAACAATTATATATGCCTTTTCTCTATATTTTTACTTCTGTATTATATTGCATTATTTAATTTTCTGTTTTCATTATATCCCTGCTGAAAAAAAAACACACAGCTAAAACCAGCCTAAGATGGTTAGCTGGTCATCCAGCCTGGTCATAGCTGGCCACTTCTTAGCTGGCCACTTCTTCATAGCTGGTCAGGCTGGTCTAGGCTGGGAGACCAGCTGGAACAACCAGCTAAAACCAGCTACTTCCATCTTAAACCAGCTAAGACCAGCCAACCAGCTTAGGTTTTCTAGTTTTAGCTATTTTTTTTCAGCAGAGATTAGTGTTATATTTAATCTTTACTGTGTAATTCCTATGTACGTCTGCACTATCATGTATGTTTGAACTATGTCTACTTTCTTCTGCACTTGGAGCTCCTGTCACCAAGACAAATTCCTTGTGTGTGTAAACATACAGTACTTGGCAATAAAGCTCCTTCTGACCTTCCACTTCTATGTTTGAGTAAGGTGATATTTTTAATATACTATAGACTATTATTGAGGGGATTGATGAGCTATACATAGGCTACGCTGTGTATAAGCTATAAATATGATGCAGCTGGTGAGGTGAGATTGAAAAACTGTAACTTTAGACTTTTAATCAAATTTAATCTAATAACAGGGCTGTATAAGTAGCTATGTAAATATGTATTGTAAGTGATTCACGTCCAAGAGCCAATGCGACTGACGTAAATTAACGTCACTGATGTCAAGACACAAAAAGTACCACAGTTCATACGTTTAATTCTCGCTATTTCAAGTCTTCTGAGGCTATAAAACAGCAACTGTGTGAGGACAAAACAGGACTAAATTGAACTGATTACTCACAGAAATGCTCTCTGCTCTGCAGTTGCGACACGCGCACAAACTTTGGTTTCTTCACAGTGCCATATAAGGAGAAAAAGGAGGAGGATAAAACTCGCCTGTTTGTCAAGAGAAATTTCAATATGCAGTAAATGTAACAACAAATCATAGTTTTCAGTCACGTGACTGGCTCGAAGACCTGGTGGGCAAAACATCCATAGAACTGCAGCACAAGCCTGTCAATTTTCTATCTGTTCCAATCCAAAAATATTTAGATCAAAAGATTAAAACAAAGATATGTGAACAAAATGCAAGTTTTGGCCATTACATTAGCAATCCATATAAAGCACCTGCCGCAATATTTCAATCACTAAAAACTGATTAATTTCAGTACACACCTTATTGATGATGATGCGTGCTTTATACAGGCAAGCAAATGAGCCTGGGATATGAACGCAATGCGCTAAATGGTTAAGCGTCTTCTTTATAGGCCTAATGGTTTTCTATGGGAAAACATTTAATATTAAACTTTGCGCATTGCGTTTATATTCTGGGTTCTTCTGCTTGCCTGTACAAAGTATGCATCATCAATAAGGTGAATACTGAATTTGGCTTTTAAATAGCAGTCTTACTACATTACTACTTGCTTAATGCAAACCTCGTATGTGAGCGTACCTGTAAGGGTGTGACATCACATGAAAACTATGAATTGAAGATTTTCTACCACCATAAATGATACACATCTGGTGAAAAAACATGTAGGCCTAAATACACGTGCAATACAGTGTATACACTTTCCCATGTCCTATAATAACAGATTGAGTGCAACTGTAAAAACCATATAAAGTCACAGATCCTCCGCCGGTAGTAACGCCTCTGTGAGGCAGTGGACTTTGAAATCCTTCCCAGTAAAGTGAAAGCAAAAGGAGAGGGAAATGTAGAATGAGAGAAGTGCGATTGTAAGAAGCTTGACTTTCTTGCACAAGGCTCTGTGGTGTGAATCAAGTCTCCGAATGAGTTCGCAAGGTTCCGAAGGTCACAGGTAAGACTCCGGTTGAAACACTTTTGAAGTCAAGCATGTTTAAATTAATTTCTTAACTTTTATTCATTTGTTTTAACTTTCACGCTGTGTTCACAGTGCTGTGAAGATGCCCTGTGTGTTTGAGCCTTATAAGAAGCATAAACACGTAGGCAAATGTCTAATCATCAGTAATGAGCACTTCCGTGAGTATCAGCCTCTCTGAACTAGGAGGAAGTTTAATCTCCGACCTGCTTACAATATTTGGAACTGTTCTTTAAATCACATCCGTCCTTTTGAATGGCTGAAATAACACTAATATTGAACCTAATGCTACTGTAACTGTAATCTGAAGTTTAACTCTAATCTGATTTTTTAGATGTTTAACATTTTTTAACACATTTTGCCTCTAACCTTGATTCTCGCTGACTCCAGCTCTTCTGTTTTGAGTTCTTATACCACATCTGCTTACAGTCTTGAGTTCTTATTCATGTGATTTTTAGCATATTAGTCCTGTTTTGTGGCATTTCTCCAAGTATCTGAAAATAACACTAATATTGAACCTAATGCTACTGTAACTGTAATCTGAAGTTTAACTCTAATCTGATTTTTTAAATGTTTAACATTTTTTAACACATTTTGCCTCTAACCTTGATTCTCGCTGACTCCAGCTCTTCTGTTTTGAGTTCTTATACCACATCTGCTTACAGTCTTGAGTTCTTATTCATGTGATTTTTAGCATATTAGTCCTGTTTTGTGGCATTTCTCCAAGTATCTGTTCCTGAAAAATAACCTTCTAGCATTTTGATGATACCTTTCTCAGGGTTTATTTTACGATAATGAATGCCTGACTGTACATTATACCCACTTTTACATGGTAACTTATGAAATAAGTAGTGATGAGTTTAAATAGTTGAATGAATCAGTCTAATAAATAACTCACTCACTCACTCACTCACTGATTCGGTCAGTTAATTAACATTTGACTCATTAATTGCATTTTCTTTTCAGTAATTTTCAACTTCCTCAATAATTATATAAGACCATCAATGGAACTGTTGAGTAGAATTGGAACCAAAACTAGAAACATTAAATTCCTTACATATCCATTTCCTAGTTGTGTCTTTTTGTTCCAGGCTCACCACATTTATGTAGAAAAGGCTGTTCAGTGGACGAACACTTACTGTCGAACACGTTCAAGTCCCTGGGATTTCATGTACAAGTGGAGAGGAACTTGTCAGCTAATGAAATGATCGGTGCACTGAGGAAAGGTACAGATTGCTATCATTTTCAGTATTCTGGATGTGTCATTGTGCCTGTATGAATTTATAAACATGGTGTGTGCCACAGTTTCTAAGGAGAACCACACAGACAATTCCTGCTTTGTGTGTGTACTGATGAGCCATGGAGAGGAAGGAACAATTCTGGGATCGGATGAGCGCTGGATCCCTGTCAAAACTCTAACCTCTCTCATGACCTCTGACCTCTGCCCTAGTCTGCGGGACAAGCCAAAACTCTTCTTCCTACAGGTAGCTGTCACCTGCAAAAAGCATGGCTCATTTCAAAACATTAACAACTATATTGTTAACTATTTGTGGTTGGGTTGATTCCCTATTCAGGCATGCAGGGGGCTGGAATATGACCCTGGTGTTGAGGCAGACAGTGTAGAAGCACCGGGGGAATTTTTTGGAATATCTGACGCTCCCGAAGCAGATTTTCTCTGCTGTTATTCCACAGTGGAAGGTTTGCATTGCACTGACATAGTTGCAGCACAGTTGGATTTATCAAATTTTCATACTCACGTGCACACGTGCATTTAAAAATATTTCTTTCTCAACAGGGTACTACTCTTGGAGAAATCCAGAAACAGGCTCTGTATTTATCCGTGAACTTTGCAAGATGTTGATGGACTGTCATCTAGAGATTATTCAGATTCTGACAAGAGTAAATCATTGCGTGGCCAATCAGTTCCAGTCTTACACCAGAGACCCGGATACACATCGAAAGAGACAAATGCCGTGCTTTGCCTCCAGACTGACCAAGGAGTTTTACCTCCATGTGCCAGAGAAGAAAAATACATTTTATTTTTAAATCACTGGCAGCAAGTCAGTGATATTGTTTGCGAGGCAGCATTGTATTAATATGTTAGCTCTTATATGCAAATACTTTTCATTCAGTGTTCTTTAAGATACATTGGTTAATCAATTGATGTGCAAAATGGCAGATCAATATGGCAAAACTGTCTAAGCACATGCAATTAATTAAATGCCAGGTACTTCATCTATTTGATTATTTTCTCTTTTTATTTCTTAATAAAATTTTCAAACCAAAAGATAAGATTATTCACAATAAGTAAATCTTGCATCTCATCTAACTATGACAGATAATAGATTTATGTTTATTCCACTCTTTGTTTAGATTATTCATATCATAGTTTTTTGAAATATAATTATATACAGTTAAAGATTCAACAAAATCTATACATAAAAGGCAGATAATTTGAACATTATGAAGGCATGGTAAAGGTAAATAATAAAGTTTTATGTTAAGTTTATCCTAGCTTTAATCAAAATTGAGCCCTGACACGTAAACGTGTCTGTAAAGAAACACCCATATATCTTTTAGTTGGAAAGTGGAAGACAGCTATCGACCAGGGGTTAAATAAAGTACAATTATTTACACTTGATGAAAGGTAGTTTTCCTCGTTTCTCTCTCTCTCATTCGCTCTCCTGGTCCTGACTGCTTCAGAGCTCTGAGAACGGCCACAAGACAAAACAACTGGATGAAGAGGAAGAGGATCTGCTGTGTCACAATGCAATAGAAGTAAAACTCAATCAAGGTGAACCACCACATTATAATATGAACCACAAAGGCACCATAAGATGCCACCCAAGCAATAACAGAGCAGATCACTCTATATCTGAGAGGTTTGTACTTCAGAAAGGTTACAGGATGAACCACTGCCAGGTAACGCTCAACACAGATCAGACTCTGAAACAGAGGACAGACAGTCATGATTAGTCCTGCAAGAACAGACCACATTATCAAGGGAATTACAAATGTATACCTGAGAACACAAACGAGAGAGTGCAGACAGAGGATGATCTCACAGACAGAGAGATTGAGACTGAAGAACTCTGCTGCTAGTCCATTCCCTGCTCCTGTTACTATAAACCATATCACATAGGAGTTAGTAGGAAAACCCAACAGCATGCTTGTGGCATATATTGAGTATCCGTGATAAGATAAATGTCCAGTGCAGAGTTATTGAAGTCATCGAAATAATTTGATCCATCTGTGGGAGGTGTTCATTATAATCGGGAAAACAAAACTGTAAGTCAGTTGAGCAAAGATACTTAAGAAAAAAAAGTCACTTATTTTTCTCTGTAAATGTAAAGGACTGTTTTGGGAACTGCTGACCAGGCATTCAAATAATGCATCTCATAATCTTGTACTGCAGTTATATCTGATCAAATGCACATTATTATTCTTTAGTTTGGGTTAAACAAATCAATTTTGCTTGGTTGGAACAGCAGCTACGCTAATTATGTCTCTATTTGTTTCTCTGTTTTTGCCACGAGATTGACATCCCGTGGCAAATTGACATCCCGTGGTAACTAAATCCTAGTTACCACGGGATTGACATCCCGTGGTAACTAGGATTTACACAAGCTTCAGTCTGGATCCAGAACACCTGAGAAGAGATGATGCAACCCCTCAGAGGACCTCAGATGATGCCAACCCTGAAACAACATACAGAACTACCACATTTTGCTATAAGTTTGATTGCATCATATAATAATTGCTGTTAATAGTTTTCATCGTCTGTTTTATTACTTCTTAAATATTTTTTCCCCGTACATTTCTGCCATATGTACATTAACTGACAGTCACCACTGAATATTGTAGAAACTTAATTTGCTGTAAAGTTGCTTTGCAACGATTTGTATCGTGAAAAGCGCTATACAAATAAACTTGAATTGAATTGAATTGAACGATTAGCTGTGAATTTGAGACTGGACTAGTTCAATAGCTCTTATGACAAGTATGTGAACTTAGCATGTTTTCTAAATGTCTGCAAACACATTATGGTATTTTTATGCTTCATCATTGCTTCAAAAAGACAGACTGGGCTCTAGCTGTATGAAACAAATTCCATCTCTGCAAATATCAAAATCAGTGGACAAAGTCAACAGGAGTAATGGTTAAATTAAGTAAATATTTGCAAGACTTTATTGAATAATTTCTGTTTATTAAGTAAAAGGCCTGTTTACACCAAGAATGGTAACTATAAAGATAAATAACATGTAACTTATATTAGCATCCACACCATGTAATTATTTAATTCTTCAAAAATTGAGTTATTAATGGTTCCATCAGTTATGGAGACCTACAGAAGGGCAATCTGCCAACCCTGTGAATGAAGAGAAGAGGTTGCACAAAACCAGCCAGAAAGAAACATGTAAGACTCAGTGATTCTAGTTCATGGCTAGCTGGTATTGATAGAATATATTGTAATGCCGTGATTGAACTGGGAACGTAAGTGATTACTAAAGTCACAGTAGTTATTAGAATGAGGTGAAATGCTTTCCTCTTTATGTGGTTTTCTTCTTCTCTCTCTCTCCCTCTCTCTCCAGGTCCGGGCTTCTTCAGTGCTCTGAGAACAGCTAAACAGCAGAACATGTTTATGGGGAGGAAAATTATGAAGTGTACCAGGTACAGGCATTTATAAAGGTGTATAAAACATGGGTTTACAAGTTGCAGAGAAAATACACAACATACAACAATCATTATCCAGGTAACAATAGAGCATGTTACTTTGTATCTGAGAGGTTTGTACTTCAGAAAGGTTAGAGGATGAACCACTGCCAGGTAACGCTCAACACACATCAGACACTGAAAGAAACGGGCAGTGATGGCAAATCCTGACAAAAACATCATAAAACTCCAGAGGCTTGGAAAAACTTGGCCAAGCACACAATTGAATGAACGCAGACATAACATAATTTCACAGACAGAGATGTTCAGAGTGAAGAATTCAGATGCAATTCCTCTTCCTGTCCCTGTGACAATAATCCACAGAATATAGGAGTGTGTAGGAAGACCAAACAGGATAGTGATGACATGTAGTAAAACATCATAGGGTGTAATGTTATAATATCTGGACAAATCGGTTATGTTACATGCTCCATTTGTTGGATGTGCTATAGTTTCATTGAAGATGTTCATCATACAACTGTCTTTGCATTCACCTGAACAAAAATAAGGAATAGAATCAGACAGAGAACAAAATATCAATCTACAATGTAAAACAAATCATTAATAAAACTTTTAATTTAATGAAAAAAAGAAACACTTATCTTGACCTAGCATCTGATCTTACATTTTCATTAATTAGAATAAATTGGTTAAGTATTAGTCTAATGTTATACATAATGTATATTATATTAATTATATTATATTATATTCACATATACACTTTTAACAGATTCAGTATATAATCAAGTATTAATATATGTAATGTAACTATAGATCTGACAATTTTAGCAAATCATATTTTGTTTGTAAATGTTATGATTATAGAAATAACATTTTGAAGAAAAATCATTGGTTACCAGAATAATACTAGTCAAATCTCTCCACTCTCTCAACAGAAATTTACGGCTGTCTTCAGTGCATCAGTGATCAGTGCAGTTCTCACTCAGAATCTACAGTGTTGGATGTGCTGTATGTAAATGTTATTATTCAATGCAAATTTGGCATTGCTAGCGCCATGCTTTACTATTTAAGCTAAAGGAATGCTTTACATAGAGCAGCCAATTCATCATTTTTGTGGACAAAATGATGTTCAACAGAAGTAAATGTATACAATTAAAATCCGCTTAATTTGGCAACATCCTATTGAATAACTTCAGTTATGTTTCAGTTTATAGAGTAACTTTTATTTATACATATGATGTGATGGCTCTTTCAATAACATTTCAAAGAACAGCCTACAAACAGTGAAACATTTACACACTTAGCAAACATTTAGCGAAACATTTTCATAAGATGTATATGGGTAAAAGATGAAAAAGGGTTTAAGCATAAAAACAATACGTGTAATACTGCTTTAAATTATTGTTGTTGTTAAACAAATGTTAAAATTTGCCACTATCCTAGGTTTTGCCAATTTGTCAGTAAAAATGTTTTACTAATGTAAAACACAATCAAATTAAACATGCTCCCTTATTCTTTTATATATTTTCATATGTACACGTCAGAATAAACATGTTGTTTGGATTTTTACATAAATATTGTGTTACACTGAATGACAACGTAACATTATTTCAACCAAATTTTGACAATTTATTCTCCAAAAAGTTATTTGAAACCTTAAAAGTAGACATTTTAATTACATTTAGTGTGCTTTCTATGGACATAAAATCACTTTTGTAAATTTCTTTTGATGCGGACATCTTAATGTCTTTGATATATGAATATCATACAGAGAAAACTGACATCTTCATGGCAGCTTTATGAAAATGAGAGCACATGGCAATTGTTATTGAAAAGGGTTAGATCAGTTATGGAGACCTACAGAAGGGCAATCTGCCAACCCTGTGAAGGAAGAGAAGAGGTTGCACAAAACCAGGCAGAAGGAAACATGTAAGACTCCATGATTCTAGTTCATGGCTAGCTGGTATTAATAAAATATATCGTAATAATGTGATTGAACTGGGAACGTAAGTGATTACTAAAGTCACAGTAGTTATTAGAATGACTAGAAACGCTCTTCTCTTTATTTGATTTTCTTCTTCTCTCTCTCTCCCTCTCTCTCCAGGTCCGGGCTTCTTCAGTGCCCTGAGAACAGCTAAACAGCAGAACAGGTTTATGGCGAGGAAAATTATGAAGTGTACCAGGTACAGGCATTTAAAGAACTGTATATTACATGGATGTACAACTCCCAGAAAAAACACATTACATATAAGGATCATTATCCAGGTAACAATGGAGCATGCAACTTTGTATCTGAGATGTTTGAACTTCAGAAAGGTTACAGGATGAACCACTGCCAGGTAACGCTCAACACACATCAGACACTGAAAGAA